GTAGCAAACTCCTGGACTGCTGAAGTTCATTGAAAGTTGTCTCTGGAGAAACTGTGCACCAAGCAAGTGGTGTTAATCAGTGTTAGGGAAAAGATAAAAGTATTTTCAAACACCTACAGGGACTTGGTGGGTGCTCTCTAATGTTGAAATTAATCTCGTCTAAATGTATTCATCTGTGAGCAATGAGAAAACTGTTGTCCGCTGTGCTCCTTGAGATTTAGCTATTTCTAAACACTGATGTCTTTCTTCGTGCTTCCCATACAAGTTGAGAGTATGTCCTGAATACTGATGTCAAGTGGTACAACTTTCTGAACATAAGCCTCTTTTATAAAGCTTTAATTATTCTGAACTCAGAATCTCTAGCCTTAGATACTGCCATAACTTTTTAGACATAAGTTTAGGTTTGCATGATGCAGTTGAGGGGAGAGAGGGAGAGTATTCTGGGCATCTCTTGGTTTACACCATCGTGGAGCGACAGCTGTACTCAGGCATCTCCACGATGCATCCACTTTTGAGCTGAGGCTGGTTTGGGAAACTGTGCCCATGCCAGTAGCAGTAGCACAGGTGGGGCTGGTGTTAGCCCAGAGGAAGCAAACGATACAACAGTGATGTTGTTGGACAGGAAGGTCCAGATTTGTCTGGGTGTCTCAGTGGTCTGTTTTGCTAGAGAATGGGTGACCCAGGCAGGCAAGATGACAAGGGACATAAGGAAGGATTTTCTGGTTTGGAAATTCTACAGTGAAACTTTGAAATAATTGGCTTTTATTGAAGGCAGTACGAAGCCCAGGGGAGCCAGGTTTCCACTTACCCTTGTCACAGACTTTCTGTGTAGCGTTGAGTTGACCATGTAAGCTATCTCACTGCATATTCCCTACTTCACTGCCTTAACTCTTGACACATGAAAGCATTTTACTAGCTCTTGTACTATCCACAACCTGAAGATCTACAGTTCCTCCAAAACTTGCTACTTCTGGCCCCCTCCAAGCTAGCATGTGTGCAAAACTGCTTGTACACCTTGACTTGAAATTAAACTATATTAGATAGGTTACATGGATGCACGCTTGCATACAAAATAACGCAGTGTAACTAGAAGACTGTGCCCCTAAAATGTATACATATTCATCAGTTAGTCATGTAATGAAGTTTATTTTTATCTAATAGATGGGTAAGACAAAAGTAAATTGTATGTTTTAATCAAGGGTGAGACAATTATCTGGGCAGTTGACTTTTGCATGTTGTCTCTGAATTTCCCTTGTGGGGGTTCTTTTATGTGTTTAAATGAAAGGTGAGATAGGTTTACATTTTTATCTATAGAGTTGAAAAAGTACAGGGGGAGATTATATATTGCAGTTCATCTGAAGTAAATATCAAATATACTGGGTACTAATGAGCATTCCATTCTTGTGTCCAGGAAAATGCACACTTCTTTGTTGCAGATATGATTATAGCATCACTAGAAAAAATGAAATGTAATATCTTAAGTCAACAAGCAGAATCCTGGGGTGTGGAAGAAACAAGCGGATCAGATAGCAGCTATCACACTGATTCGGAGTTATATTCTTACCCTGGAGTAAAGAAGTCTGATTCTTCTGTTACCTCTTCAGACAGTGGTTATGAAGGCAAGTTACTTAGTCTAGAATGTAACCTTGTCTGAAAGCCTTTGCCATTTGTTTTTGTGCAAGAAAATACTAAATTTATTGGGGCACTGCATGGAACCAAATCCTCTGTTACCTTCTTTGAGTCTCTGGAGAGCTGTACCCCTCAAGGATCATTATACCACAAGCGTTTTTCCTGTGGGTCAAATACTTCCTTTTGAATGCTCACATCTATGTTTTATTTATTAGAATTAAATTATTTTATATATGTAAAAGAAAATGTAAGGATCAAGTGCTACATACCAAGCATGACTCTCCAAAAAGAGTGACTGTAGTTGGCTAATTTTCTTTCTGCTT